GTGTAGAATAGAGTAAGAATTTTTGTAAAACTTTAAAACATCTAATCTTTATGTAAGTTTTTTATTAACTTTACCAAGAAATTTTGAAATTTTAATTAAGAAACTTAAATTTCTCACCTCAAATATTATTAGGGTTAACATTTTTTTTCTTAATAGTTGGATTAACGATATAATTATTATTAAAATTAAATAATCATGAAGATACATATAAAAAGATTAAGTGAAACCAACCATTAAATTTTTTTTTATTATTGATTTACAATGACATTTTCTTTTATGATGTTGAAAAGTTTAATAAAAGTCTCGGATCATTTGAAATGGAACATAATCATAAGCTTATAACATATTGGTTTGAGACTTTATTTTCAATTGTTATGAACTTACCTTCTAATTATTAGTAAGAAATTTAATTAAGTGAATGAATTAAATAAAAGTCATGAATCAGATTTGGTATAAAATTTTGGTACCATCCAGTATTACGTTGAATAACATCTTTTTAATTTTTATGAAGAAAATGTGAATTATTAACAGTAATATATACTCTTTTTTTTTTTTTTTGAAAGAACAGTAATATATACTTTTAATTGCATTGCATTAAAATAAAAGTTGATCAATTTTATGCTTATGGTTAAATCAAATTACAATGCTTAAAAAGAAATGACCTAATTAAAAGTAGAGAATTTCTGCGGTAGCCTCTATAAAGAAAGGGTACTGGTACTGTTGATGATGTGTCACTTACGTGTAAATCCAAGTCATTTATAATTTTTTAATTATTTAAAATTCACATCCAAGTCATTTATGATATTTTATTTTTTCAATTTTTAAATTATTTAGTCATTTTATTTTTATTTTATATATTCTAATTTATTTGTAATAATATTATTATATATTTAAATAGTTTAATTTTAATAATTTTTTAAGTATATTTTTATTCTTTTTATCTTAAATTTTTGAATTTCTATATTATAATTTTAATAATTTTTTATTTCTACTATTTATTAATTTTTTTATTAATTTTTTAATATTTTATAATATTATTAAAATCTTATAATTTTAATCTCTATAATTTTATCTTACTTTTTACTTTATAAGTATAATTTAGACTATTCATTTTATAATTAAATTAATTTTTTAAATTTTTTTTTGAATTTACATAGAAAAATATATTGAAACTCCTCAATCTTTGAGGTACCGTAGCAACTCCCTTAAAAGTATCGTTGCTATAGATGCTCCAACCTCCGACGCATGAATGGACGTCATCAAAATTTTGGTGCTACCGCAAAATCCATGGGTGGAATTTTTCGAAAGTTTTACACTAGAAATCAGTATATATAATAGATTGTAAACAAACCATACAAATCTCACTTATATAATATCCAACAAATTTAAATATACCTAATATGAACATATAAACTCCAACACTAATAACCACTCCTAGAAAAGAAAGACCTCGAAGCAATCTTAATGGAAGTTACTGTGAATCTGCAGCTTAACTTTATTATTTATGAAAACAGTCATTATATAGAATGACCGTAACAGAATTACAATCAAATAAAACAAATTCTAACAAATTAATCTTATCAGTAAAATTAACTAACAAACTATTTGTTATCAGATTAACAATATCAAAACAGATGAATCTTATCCTAATACTTCCCCTTAAGTTGGAGCATGGAGGGAGGAAATGCCCAACTTGGACAATAAAAATTGAAACTGCTTTCTACCGAGAGCTTTAGTTAGAATATCTGCAGGTTGGGAATCAGTCCGAATGTGTCGTGTGGAAATTGTTTTGGACATCACATGTTCTCGAACAAAAAGACAGTCGAGTTCAATGTGTTTTGTCCTTTCATGAAAAACTGGATTAGAAGCAATATGAATAGAAAATTGACTATCACAATATAGTGTCATTGGCATGGAATGAGAGACACCAAGATCTTGCAGAAAAGCTTTGATCCATAGTAGTTCAGAAGTGGCAGTTGCCACGGGACGATATTCGGCTTCAGCAGAGGAACGAGAAATGGTGTGTTGCTTCTTAGATATCCATGAAATAGGGGATTGATCGAGTGTGATAAAGTAGTCAGTGATGGATCGTCGAGTAATAGGACAACTTGCCCAATCAGAATCGCAATATGCACGAAGATGAAGATCACAAGTGGAACGCATAAGTAGTCCTTGACCTGGATTACCCTTGATATAACGCAAAACTCGCAACACTGCATCATAATGTTCTTGGAGCGGATGTTGAAGAAATTGAGAAAGTGTATGAACAGCATAACTCAACTCAAGTCGAGTAATGGCAAGATAAAGAAGGCGACCTACAAGACGTCGATAACGTGTGGGATCATTGTAAGCTGGACCATCTGCAAGGGCCAATTTATGATTTTGATCCATGGGAAAATCAGATGGTTTACACCCAAGTAATCTGCATTCATGCAAGATATCCGTAGCAAATTTGCGTTGACTCAGAGATATACCAGAGGAGCTACGAGCAAATTCAATACCGAGAAAATATTTAAGTTTGCCAAGATCCTTGATTTTGAAACAAAAGCTAAGATGAATCTTAACTTGATCACAAGCACATTTGTTGTTTCCGGCCAAAAGGATATCATCAACATATATAAGAACCGCAACGAAATCCTGATCTCTTGTGAAGGTGAACAACGTGTAATCAGCTTTGGATTGTTGAAATCCGAAATTAAGAAGAGAGTCACGAAGTTTAGCAAACCAATTTCGCGGTGACTGCTTGAGACCGTAAAGGGAACGTTGTAATTTGCATGCAGAGCCAGGAGAACCAACAGAAAAACCAGGAGGAAAATGCATATACACTTCTTCTTCAAGATCTCCGTGGAGAAAAGCATTATGAACATCCAATTGATAAATATCCCATCCTTTTGCAACAGCTACAGAAAGAAAAGTGCGTACACTCACCATTTTTGCAACAGGAGCAAAGGTTTCATTATAATCTTCTCCTTCAATTTGGTTATTACCTGCAATAACTAATCTAGCTTTGTATCTTTCTATAGAGCCGTCAGAATGATACTTGATTCGAAAAATCCACTTACAAGGAATTGCTTTCTTTCCTGGAGGGAGAGAAGTGACAACCCAAGTGTGGTTATCCTCAAGAGCCTGAATTTCAAGTTTCATAGCTTGTTGCCAAAGTGGATCCTTCATGGCTTCTTTAAACGAACGTGGCTCAATGGTGTTACTAACAGCCGCTAAGAATTTTTGGTGTTGTGAGGAAAAATTATGATTAGTAACAAAGTGCTCAATAGGATAAAGAATACCTAAGGGAATGCTAGATAGAGTGTTAGCAGAAGAAGGTTTAGTAGCATTGCGACAATAATAGTCTTTAAGATGTGCGAGTGGTCGATGAGATCTACTTGTACGTCGAAGAGGCATGGAAGATGGAGATGAAGTATCAACAGAACTCCCCCTTTCAACAGACTCTGGATCAGGTAAAGGTGCAACATCTGAAGAGGAAGTACGAGTATCATGTGGTTCATACAAAATCATAGATGTGGAAGTAGGATGTATGGGAGCTGGAGAAATGTTCGTGGTAGGTGATGCAAATGGAAATTCATCCTCAAAAAATTTAACATCACGAGAGACAAAAATCTCCTTTGTATCTAAATTAAACACCTTCCAACCCTTTTTGTTAGATGGGTAGCCTACAAAAACACATTTTTGTGAGCGTGCAGCAAACTTATCAAACGGTTTAGGCAAAACTGTAGCATAACACAAACAACCAAGGACCCTAATATGGTCATAACTGGGTGGAGTATCATGAAGTACTTCATAGGGACATTTTCCATTGAGCAATTTAGTGGGAGTTCGGTTAATCAAATGAGTAGCTGAGAGAATACATTCACCCCACAAGTCAATAGGAAGATGTCCATCAAATCGCAAGGCACGAGCCACATTAAGAATATGACGATGACGTCGTTCGACTCTACCATTCTGTTGTGGCGTATATGTACATGATAATTGTCGAATAATGCCACGATTTTCAAAGAAAGAACGCAGATGGGTAGAAACAAATTCAGTCCCATTATCAGTTTGAACCCTTTCACTACAAAAAAAGAGGTAGTTAGTGGGGGTTTTTTTCTGGCGGTTTCAAAAAACCGCCACAAAAGATTATATTTCTGGCAGTTATTTTAACCGCTAAAAAAATGATACATTTTAGGCGGTTTTAAACCGCCACAATCTTTAAATAATTAAAATATTATTTTCTTATTTTTAAGGAAAAAATATTTGAATATTCATTTTTTTTATCTTAAATAAATATTATTTTTCCTATTCCTCTGCTCTTCTTTCTTTCCTTTACTCATAGAATAGCAAGCGGAGCCCGAAGGTTTTCACCTCAATCTCTTCTCTTCTATTTTGCTTTTTGCATACACACGCACACGCATTAACTTCTCTCACACACTTGATTCGTATTTTCGAGATCTGTGCTTAAACCTTCACTTGCTTTGCCTTCTTCTGCAGACGAGCTTTACCTTGCGCCGGTGAGTTTCTTTTATATCTGCTTTCGCTTCACACTCTTACGTCGCCGTTTTGCTAGTTTTGCTTTCAGAACTGTATACATCGGGTTTTGTTCTGGTTTCGTTCACGACCTCGATCACTTCCTTTCCTTTTTCAGTGTTTGCAACGTTATCAAACTTTTTGCATAGATACTCGTTCTAAATTTTCTGTTAATTTTCTAAATTATGTTTTGAATCTAAAACGTAGAGCATTGCTCATCTGATTCCTTTGCGAAGCGCGTTTGTTCTAACAATTTGAGGTGTCGTGTGGTGGTTTATTAAAACTCCAATCCGTTCTGCTTAGTGTATGTTTTGGATTCGATGTTTCAATTTGATTAGATCTGCAGTCATTTCCGATTTTTTTCCCCCGACGGTTTCTCCCTGTTTTCGGTTCGTCTTTTGTCGGTTTAGAAACGGAAACGTAAAACGTGTCCTGGATTGATTAAAAAAAAATAGAGTGCGTGATTCATCTATATATTTTATATGAATAAGAAGTGTGGTTGATGCTCTTTGAATAGTAGGTTTATTTTATTTACTGTTTCAGAAGGGCCACTTGTCATGGTTGAGATCGAGATGGATACCGAAACTGTAATTACTGCAAACAATATCACATTTGTGACTTTGCTTTGTTTATTAAATTAGATTGGAAAAAGAAACTCGGGGCATCCATATCTATATAATATTATTAAGATTTTAGTTTTGTCATTTGTGGCTTGTTCGCACGTCAAGTGGGTGATATCATTATAATATTAGTTTTTAGATAAGGTGTTTTTGATTATCCCAGAAAGGTTAAATTGGAAAATTATTTTTTATCTTTAGGTGTATATAATATATATATATAGTTGAGATTAAGAAATTGTGTTAAGCCATTCTATTATTGATGACTATTTCAGGCTGCAAATGCAAATGCGGCTCCAACCAATGAGACTCCAAAAAATGTTCCCATCTCTCATCATTCCTCACATCCTCCTCTTAATGAGAGGATTATTTCATCCATGACCCGGAGATCTGTTGCTGCACACCTGTGGCATGACCTTGAGATAGGTGAGAGCCATGAAATTGGTGGAAAAGGGTGACGTGTTTCAATTATGATGAGTTGTGCTTCTTCTTTTCTTTTTCTTAATTGGATTGCCATGGTAACTCTGTTTTCTTTCACAATGCAGGGCCTGGTGCTCCAACCATCTTCAATTGTGTAAGCATCCCTCAGTAGTAAAGTACACATTATAATGTAAGACACTTGTAGGGTTATAATGGTTAGAACCAAGGAAAATATTGGAGAACCTAGATTTTCTGAGGGTTTTAATATGGTCAAGTAACAACAACAAAAAATGCCCTTTGCTCTGTTTTTCCCCCTTGCATGCTACCGAAGTAATAGTTACAGATTTTGTTGTCAAATTCATAGCTAATGAAACAATTTTTCATTTCTTGTTTTTTTTTCCTGGTTGCATTTTCTGATTCAAAAGTTTTACAGCTATTTGATGGACACAATGGATCTGCTGCTGCTATTTATGCCAAGGAGAATCTTCTAAATAATGTATTTGTTGGCAATCTAAAACCACCAGAAAATGTAAACGTAAAAATAATAATAATTTTGAGGAGGTTTTAAAATCGTCAGAAATTTCGCATTGGGTGGAATTACAATGAATTTTGTGGCGGTTTAAAACCGCTAGAAAATGATGAACAAGTCAAACAGAAATGCAGTTTTGTGGCGGTTTTAGACCGCCAGAAAATGTCAACAAGTCAAACCAAAACGCATTTTTTGGCGGTTTCAGACCGCCAGAAAGAGATTGAATTTTCTGGCGCTCAAAACCAGCGTTTACAAAATATCCGCCACAAACGATATTTGGCGACCGTAGATCCGGCGGTTATTAACGACGCCCATTATCAGTTTGAACCCTTTTAACCATGGAATTAAATTGAGTTTGCACCATTGTAATAAATTTTATTAACGTAGAACATGCCTCATGCTTGTCACGTAAAAGATAGACTCATACATGACGATTGAAATCATCCAAAATAGTTAGAAAGTAACGAGCACCAGATGCAGAAATAGTTCTATATGGTCCCCATAAATCACAATGGATTAAATCAAAGGAGTGCAAACTATGTTTTTTATTGATAGGGAATGAATAGCGTGTTTGTTTGGCTCTACAACACATATCGCAGGAAACTATTTTATTTGAACTAGAAACAAATGGCAGCAAATCCAAATAATGTTGAGAAGGGTGTCCCAAGCGTCGATGCCACAAATTGAAAGAAGAGGAACCATGATCGCATTTACAGAAATTGATTGGCAAAGTACATACACCCATTCATGCTCAATACCCTGTCCAATCGTCCTCCTCGTCTGTAGGTCCTGTAAAAAATAATTAAAATTATTAAATACAACCATGCAATCATTGGAGTGTAGCATTTGAGAGATAGAAATCAGGTTGCACGTAAGAGACAGCACGTAAAGAACATTGGTAAGTAGCAACAGAGATGTAAGCCTAACATCCCCGCATTGAATTGCAAGAGTACCATCACCATTGGGTAAGCCTATTGAACAAGGAGGGATGGTGCGTATGTTAGAGAGAAGAGAGACAGTCCCAGTCATATGTTGGGAAGCCCCACTGTCAAGAAGCCGTTTGGAAGATACTGTACCACATAATTTTTCAGTGGGCGTTTTGGAGGAAACAGCGATTGACATCAACCGTTGAAGCATTTCAGGAGTAAAATCAGTAATTGATAAAGGTTTGGAGGGGCCACTATCATCGAAACATGCACCAGATTGAGTGGCATGAGCAGAAGCGGAAGCAGAGCGTCCTATCGAAGTGCGACCACATCCACGACCGCGACCAACAGGAGGGCAATCGGGGTAGCCATGGAGTTTGTAACAGCGAGAAACATCATGATTAGGACGTCCACAATGAGTACAGGTAACGCGTAACTTAGATGTATTTGTGGGTATATTAGTGGTGGCAGCACAACCTAACGCGTCGTCTACAGGGTTCTCAAAAGAACGAATAATAGCTTTATGTGATTCTTCTTGAGTAACCATAGTAAAAACGCGATTAACGGTAGGAAATACATGTGTTGTAAAAGACATGACGAAAAAAAATTTAAGATCATCAAGCTCTTGATACCATAATGGAAGTTGCTGTGAATCTGCAGCTTAACTTTATTATTATGAAAACAGTCATTATATAGAATGACTATAACAAAATTATAATCAAATAAAACAAATTCTAACAAATCAATCTTATCGATAAAATTAACTAACAAACTATTTATCATTAGAATAATAATATCAAAAACTGATGAATCTTATCCTAATAAATCTTAATATAATGGCACATTAGCACTATGCATCGCTTACATAGAAGTACTTAATTTACTCATCAGTCGGTGGAGGTGCTGAGAAAAATCGAAAGACGTGCAATGTATTTATAATATGTACCTCTAGAACTAGATATATCCGTAAATTTCATGCTCTTGACACATCATACAACACTGCATTGATCACCATGTGTCATGCACCATGGTGCTTCAACGCCACCCGTAACTCATGCTAGCTGACAAGTGTAAAATCTCATTTCTTCTCTTCTCTTCTCTGTTCCAGAAGAACGCTATATACATATATTCCAAGTTCCAAAGTCAAAACTATCGAGCCACACAAACACTCTTGAAGTAAACAGTAGCACCATGAGCAAGGAACAGCTGAAGAAGCCTGAAGCGAAGCAAGAGGCAATCAAATACGGCGACATTTTCAACGTCTCCGGCGAACTAGCATCCAAACCCATCGCACCACGAGACGCGGCTCTCATGCAGGCAACGGAGAACGAAGCCTTGGGACAAACCCAGAAGGGAGGCCCCGCCGCGCTCATGCAATCCGCGGCAGCTCTCAACGCCGGCGCGGGCCTGGTCGGGCGGCGTGACATCTCCGACGTGGCGAGGGAGCAAGGCGTGAGCGTGTCGGAGACCAAAGTGGGCGGCGGCCGCGTCATCACGGAGTCCGTTGGAAGACACGTGGTGGGGCAGTTCGTGGAACCCGACGTGCCCATGCACACCCCCGCCACCGCCCTCGAGAAAGATGCTGTAACCATCGGGGAGGCGCTGGAGGCGTCGGCGTTGACGGAAGCGGGGGACAAGGCGGTGGAGGAGAGCGACGCCGCCGCGATACAGGCGGCGGAGATGAGAGCGACGGGGAGGAACGAGACGGAGGCTGGGGGTCTGGGCGCCGCTGCCCAGTCAGCGGCCACGTGGAATACGCGCAGTGTGGGTCAGACTCAGAAGACAACGTTGTCTGATGTTTTAACGGTAACTTGAATTGTTTTTGTTTCCAGCACGTGACGAATATGCATGTGGTTGACATGATTATTAATTTATTATGTAGGATGCGAAGGAGAAGCTTCCGGTGGACAAGGCGGTGACGCGAGAGGATGCGGAGGCAGTGATTGGTGCTGAGCTTAGGAACAAGCTCGACATGAGAACCACTCCTGGAGGGGTTGCTGCGTCCATGGCCACGGCGGCCACGCTTAATCAAAACAGCTACGTTTCATAATTAATGCTATATTCTATTTCTATTGTGTTAGGTTTAGGTTTTCGTGTGATGGCTAACGTTTATGGTTTTGTTCAATACGTTCAGGAAACGTGGGTGGTGCATGAACATCTCGTAGAGCTAAGTAACCATACAGCGTTTAAACATAAATCAACTCACTCGAGTTTCACTACTACAAGTACCCTAAGTCTCTAGTGCCACAGCCACTTTTTGTTCTTCAATTTCTCTTACTTGTACTTTTTTTAAAAAAAATTGAATATGGCTATGGATATATAGTATGTTTCCTTTTTCTGTATTTAGGACCCTCTCAGTTTATTATATGATATTTAAAAATTCTTCATACCGAATATCACGAATACATAGAGGAATGGGGAGACTCTGAAACATGATGAATAACCTTATATAGGTATATATAAGGGATATTGCTACGGTCTCCCTTGTATATGAGGGAGGGAGGGGGTTTTGGTGTCCTTCTCATTTTTCTGAATCACAGATTGACACATACATGTAATAAGTCCAGGCATAGTCAATTGATCAAGAGACAATCGGGAAATTACACAGAAGGACAGTATAATGTATTTTTTATTTTAATTACTCCCTCTGATTTTTATTTTTTTTTATAATCATTTTGTCAAATTTTATTGTTTTTTTTTTCATTGTCACTTTTTTAAAATTAATATTAATGACTAATTAAATTTTTTTATTTTAATTTTTGATAATTAATGTTTATTTCTTTTTTAATGTGTTTATTTCTTTTTTAATGTATTTATTTCTTTTCTAATCAGGGTATAACAGGAAAATATTTAATAAATGATTTAAAAAATTAAAATATAAATTATTGTTTTAATTCTTGTACATAACAATAAAAAAAGATAATAAAAAATGGAGGGAGTAATTTATTTACATGATTGTAATAAGTTTGAGTATACTTAAGAGATAATTGGAGAATTGCATAAAGAAACAGTAACGCATTTTTTATTTCAATTAATTTATCCATCACATTGCACAATGCACAATGCACAATGCACAGTGTTCATTAAAACGAACTGTCATTGCCTATGCCTTAACCTTCGTCTTCTCTGAGTCGTTTTTTCCAACGATGAAGCAAGTTTCTGAATCTTAAAAATTTATCATCTTCTCTGACGAAGCAAGGTCGTTTGTGAATCGTAAACGCCATCTTCTCCAAGACAACTCGGTTTCTTCTCTGACAAAGCAAGGTCTTCTCTGATGAAGCAAGGTCTCCTCAAAGAAGAGGAGGGTGTAGGGTTCACAAATGACCTTGCTTTGGAGAAGACGAAGGTTTAGGGTTCATCTTTGTCTTCAGGGTTCATCTCTAATAGTTCGTTTTGACGAATCATTGTGTAATTGAAATGAAAAAATACATTACTGTTCTTTTGCGAAATTCCTCTATTGACTCTTGACCGGTTGACAATGAGTCATGTTATTAGAGCTACGTGTTAATCTGTGATTTGTTGATATCAGAAGAGCACCAAAATTCCCTCCCTTTGTCATGTATGTTGCAGTGAAGCCTATATATTCGTACGTGGATCAGTGCCTCATTAAAACGAAGATCCGGCGTTGAATGAATGCTTTAATTGTGTACCTATCTAGTATCCAAATTAGGTCCCAGATTTAATAGGATTAAATCATTTCCAAAGTCCAAAACCCAAGCCATTTCTTCTCTTATTCATTTTAACATATTTATTCTTTTTGCTTTTCTTTAATCTTTTTCAGTTCGTTATTTTCAAAACCAGATATATAAATTACTGAATGTATTAATTCTTTTTATTGTTTTTCATTTTCAAATAACTTAATTTATTAAATTAGTTTCTTAAGAATATTTGGAAAAAAAAATATAATAACATAGCATCATTCAATGTCTTAATACTTTTTAAGGAAGAAAAAAAAAGTCCTCCTTTTGCAAACATAACATCATTCAATGCCATAAGAATACTGTTCATGTTATTTTATGAAACTTGTTGAGGGGATATATGGGGGGAGTTAATCACCTACCTATACACGGTTAATGTAAATTTTTTTTTTATACGAATAATTAATTATATTTTTTAATTATGTTATGTCATATTTAAAAGTATGTGTTTATAGTGACATGAAATAATTAAATGATATAATTAAAAAAAATTTATACTAACAATGTATAAGTAATTAACTCTATTTGAAGATATTTAATAAGGTTTATAATTGTTATTTCTATACGTAATTCTATAATAGAATTTAATAAATATCAAAAATAAATTTAGTTATGTTTACGTCACCCAAAAAGTTTTTTATAATCACTAGAATACTTGTATGTTTTAGCATAATATACACAATTTTAGTTATTTTTATATCATCAAAGTTTTTTTTTTAACTTTTTAATCATTGGAATTATGTTTTAGAATAGTTGTTCGTGTTGAATTTAAGTTTTTATAATTTTATTTGTTTATATTTTATGTGAGAATATATAATGATATATTGTTTATTTTAAATTTAAAATATATCAAATTTTATTAAATATACAAATGGAACTTAATCATACCCTTCAATTATATCAATTATATCTTCCAAATCGTTCATATTAACAATCCATCCAAAATAATTTAAATATAATACTTGGACTAAGGGTTGGATTAAGGTTCAAATTGATTATTTTTCTTACATTGAAGTATGTGAACATGTATGTTTTATAAGATGTCTTTTTTTCTTCTTATTTTATTGTTTATATCCTAACAGTTTAAGAAAGAAAAAATCATCCTTTTGCAAATTGTTTTTCATCGATATACTCATTAAAAAAAAAATCCTTTTTTAACAATCTATATTGTGATTTTTTTTCTTATTAACGATAAAAAAATGTTAAAAAATTATAAAGAAGTATACTGCAAAATTATGTAACAATTATATTCCAAACATGATTTTCAAATATTTCATAATTTAATTAGTGCCATTAAAAAATGAAGATTTTACTCATTTACTCGAACAATAAAATAGGACATCTTTTAGTTATAAACACTATCGAAACTTATTATTTCTTTATTTTATTATTATGTCATATCATCCATTATATTTATATTTTACTTTTTACTATTATTTTATCTTGGAGTTAAATAACATATAACGTGTCCACAAATAATTTTTTGTATGCACAATAAAGGTTAGATTTTGGATCGGGCCGTAAGCCTACAACCCAACATAAGAAAATTAGTTGGGCTTAGTCAGCCAAGGCTCATTTTCTGTAGGTTCATGATATAGTGCACCTTTTTTAAGAAAATAATTAAATTTAAAAAAAAAAATTAATTTTTTAATTTTAGATTTAATTTAGTACTTTTTTTTTAATACATCTTCCTTCCTTTTTTCAATTTTTACATGCACCTCCCTTACCTTTCCTTCATCCCACCTATTTTGGTAGCATGTGAAAATTAAAAAAAAAAAAATTGTGTGAAAAAGAAGAAGAAAGTAGCAAATTAAAAGTTAAAGGTGTAAAATTAGAAAATTTAAAAGAAATTACAATATTTTATAATTTAAAAATAAATAAATAAAGGAGGTGTATATATCATGAGCCTCTTCTGTACTTTCGTTGCATTAATTCAACTTTTTTTTAATGAGTTATTCAACTCATTTGATGCTCAGCAAGATCAATTTTCTTTTAATTGTGCGATTGCTGATGAATTCGATTCTCTTTCCGAAAAATGACGCGAGGTTCCAGGGAAAAAGAATCGGTATATCATTTTTGTGTCCGAAAACAAATTAGCATTCGAATGTAATTACAATGGTAAACATAAACAAGCATGCATGGCATTCGATTCATGAGCATAATAGTGAATTTGGAAATTTAGCACGTTACTGACACTTGAGTTGAGAATAAAATAATGTTGGATTTTTTTTATCAATGGAAAAAATTACAAGATCAAACTTATCCATTTCTACCTCTAACCACTAGGTCAACTCCACTGTATGGTTGGATTTACCGATTTATATTAGTTGATCAGCTTATAGAATTTATAATGAATTAAATAGCATAATCAACATAACATAAGCCATTGAAAGACACCCTGTGTCTTCAATAATCTTCCAGTACCTAATAATTAAATTATTTTCAAAAGTGGGTGAATTAATTTAAATCAGGAGAGCAGAGGCAGAGAATCCCAGAGATGCTAGCTAGCACGGAGCAAGTACATATGCATGCTTCAAGTTGAGTTGTTGTAGTTGACGATGCTATTGCAAATCACGATGTTACAACTCATTCTTAGAATATGTATGTGATCAAATCTTGGTATATATAATATATGTATGTGATCCAGTAAGACTCGCAAAGACTCTTGTCACAATAATTTTAGTACTATAATATCATCAATTCTTTAATATACTCGTTAGTACATTTTTCATTATTCACTGAATTTCATAAATGTCCCTCTAAAATCTTGATCCATTAATTCTTTATTTGAGTTATAAATTCATGTAATTATAAAGAATCGGGTAACACGAAAATCTTGACTCGTACTATTCACCATTTGGTGAGAGAATGGCCTTCTGCTTAATTATATGCTAGGGAAAAAAAAAAGAAAAAAGAAAAAAAAAACTAAGATATAAATGAGCCATTGTTGTTGGACACTTGATCATGAGGACATATAACGTTGGTTGTTGGCACTTGACGGTGCATGTGTTAAGGGAGTCAATAATGCAACTTAATTAAATGAAATGTGAGCCTATCAAAAATAAATAAAATGAAATATGTATTTTTGGAAGAAGCATGGAAAACTCATTATTTCTTGAAGGACAACAGATGTGCACAAAACTAAATGCTCTAATTCAAAATATAAACATATGATATTTATCTATGATCCAATTTTTTTTTTTTTTTTATCTAGGCTACCACGACTATCTACAATCAAACTAAGTTAATTTTTAGAGGTACATTGGGTGATTGTTACGGTTTACTAGAATGAAAATGGCATTAGGTTGTGGACTGAAAGTGAAGCAACCCCCCATGTGCTTCTGGGAAGAAGCCTGTGATAGTTGTAACGTTGGTTGGAGCATCCTTATAGCTTGGGAGAGAAAATTTTGGTTAAAAATTGATGGGTTATTTTATAATATTTGTTTGAAAGAATATTTTATGAAATTATTATACAAACATGCTCCACAATGATGAGATATTGTTTATTTTGGATCTAAACACTCACGATTTTACTTTTAGTCATCAATTAAAAGGTGTATCTTTTATTAAAATATAAGTATATTTTATAAGTTATTATTTTTTCTCTATCGATGTGAAACTTGTTTGTATACCAACAAAAATTGAACATATTTTTCTTAGTAAGGTTATTTTATTTGTGTATATTGATTATTGAATTTGTTATTGGTACGTTGAAGAGCGTTTTGTTGGTGTGGTGTCTGTTAGAAGCAAATATGCCAAGGTGAAGAGCGTTTTGTTGGTCTCTCTTCTATTCGTTCAATTGTTGACTGACGAGACCTCCAAAGGAACAAGACGTTATATTAGAAGTTTGCTCCTTGGCTTTTTCTTTTCCTCGTTATTAAGCACTGCGCACGTTTTGATTCAGTGGCTTCTGCTTCTAATACCACCATCAATCATCCAATTATTTGAGTAGGGACCAGACCAATGTTACCTCACGTCGAAGTCGCTCATAATTCTTCTAATTTCACAATTGCTAATCCCTCTCGTGAACTGTTACTTTATCACAATTCCATTAATTCCTAATTTAATTTTCCTATTATCAAAATGAGTTTACAATCATATATGACTATTATGAGGGGTGAATCCATAAAAGCGTAAATAGTGAGTTGACCAATCAATAAATAAAAAACACATCAAGTTAAAATGAAAATCAATGATTACAACATGTTCCAATAGGATTCCTCATCCCCTAACTACAATGTAGGAACAACAAAACAAAGTAGAAGATATCACAAGATTTCTTGCCATGGTAACGAATTAGGCTGCTAAGATTGCTTCCACTATCATAGATTGCAGCTAAGAGAGAATCTCTTCTTCTCTGAGTTCTTTGAAAGGTGAAAAAATGTCACTTCATCTAGTTATGAAAATCTATTTAATGCTGGGATATTTGGTTGTGGAAATACTTACATTTGAGTGTTGAAACCCACGTAAATCAGTAAAAAAAGAATCTAACTTTTCCGGCTAATGTTCAAACATTTAGAACTTGAGTGTTCAAATGTGCACTACATATTTAGAAAATTAGACCTCCTTAGCCAAGCTAATGGTCAAAAATTGAGGCTTGAGTGTCTAGATAACTTATTCCACCACTTAAGGCCAGCACTCTAACATCTGTTTTTTGTTTTCTACTTGTGTCAATTAACCTATAAAATTCACCACAAAATTGCATATATTGATGACATGCCCCCCTAAAATGGGTTTTTACTAGCTTAAACCATTTTTCAACAGATTATATGTAGAGTTTTTGTGAAGGCATGGGAGAAAAACTCTTACATATGTCAAACTATTCGTTATTTGAGCCATGTTATAAAAGAGAGTGGGACCGAACTGGAGACAAGTCTTTATTGTGGTATCTTGCATGAATAATGAATTGATAGCCGTCTGATACATCACTTTCCTGTATGGTGATTTTATAGTAGATCTGTGCATGAAATGGACCAACCATGAGTGATATTGTCTTATACTATTTGGAATCCTTCTTTCTTTAATGATTTTATCTTCGCATTGGTACTCACTATTCAGTTTCTGAATCCAATAAACAATTAATATCGCTACAAGCCTTATTATTGGTTTGTGCCTTGCTCTTGTTTGATACTACTACCTCTTTATCGTTTCCCATGTGCACCTTGCTTTCATCTCAAACTAAGGTATACTGAAAACCCGGATGGTTTGGAATTTGGCTACACTAGTCTTTTTTTACTTTTTATGCATATCACTACTCGTGTATTAATATCTTGTTTCACCATATATATTTTCCCTTGGATCTTGGTAGCTTACAACTACTCTATTATACAATGATATATATGTTGGTATTCTTATAGCGAAGAGCTTCTTGGCATCTACATTATTTTCCTTCACTTCTCATTTTGCAAACAAATTAATATGCCAAGCACAAGAAATCTGAGGTACCTCAACCTCAATATGTGTTGCTCAAATTCAGCCACTCCTGAATCAGAATCTCCTCCATTGAGCCCCATCACCACTTCCTCAAATCATAACTCTCAATGTCCATCTCCTTCTTCAATCATGATCAAGAACTTCAACTCTATCTATGACCCTACCTTAACCTCTCACCACTCTTTCACCTCAACTTTTTTCTCCACCACCACTTTATTTGAGTCCGAACCTGAACCTGAACCTGAACCCGCCGATTTCGCCACCGCCTTTGCCTCACAACGCTTCTTCTTCTCCTCCCCAGGCCACTCCAATTCCCTCACCAAGGCCAACACCAACACATCTCAACACTCACCATCATTGAGAGATGATGGTGATGTTGAGAAAATGAAGAAGAAGAAGCTGTTGTTCAAAGGCAGTGTGGCCGTGGCAACATACTCGCCGGATCCTTACGTGGATTTCCGGCGATCAATGCAGGAGATGGTGGAGGCGCGTCCAGAGTTGATGGACGTGAAGTCCAATTGGAACATTCTTCACGAGCTTCTTCTATGCTACCTTGCTCTCAACCCAAAGAGCACACACAAGTTCATTCTTGGTGCCTTTGCCGATCTCCTCGTTAGCCTCATGTCTTTCTAGTGTTGGATCTTCAATTTTGGTTTGTAAATTTGAATAATGAAACATGTAATGCTGGTGCCGGATAATGATTGTTTCATTAATTAATGTCCCACTTTGTTACTCACACTCATTTTTGCTTTGTCCTTCATTTGGTTAGTGTTAAGTTACGTACTAATAACTAGTAGGGTGGGGAACCTCTATACTCTAACTTGGTCCCCTCCATGCATTCATTCATTGTCCTTTACTCCAGCTTTCACCATCCTTAATTGATTTGTTTTGGATGGAGAGATTTTGAAGGCTTTGGTCACAATTAATTTTATTATGGGGAACCTCAGTTGAGCTAATGCCATGTGACCATCTTGTTAACATGGTGGTTTGGAAAGTTGCAAATATTTTTTGGGGTGTCTAGACAATATGGAAAGCCTTTAATTTCTTCATAATTTAAACTTGGAGCATGTGTCAAGCAACTTTAAAGAAACATAAAGTTCCTTGATTTTGTGGTCATGTAACATGCCATATAGTTAGCGTTTCATTTAATATTGTACTTTGGAAATTAAGTTGATTGTTGCTTGACTCATTGAACGAGTTACTGCGGACAACATTAGTCAAGAAAATTAGCATAATCAATTAAGTGGAAGATGGAATGCACAAGCCACTAATTAACTAGGCAAATACATTACTGTACTAATGAGTGTATAAGTCTAGGGTGTTCATACTGCTTTCGTATTTTAATCAATCATCCAAAGAAAAGAGAAAAACAAGTCTCCACCTTGCAAGTTGCAGGGAGAACAAGACTAGTTTTTGAGCTGTGGCATGAGACTGAGACCGAGTCTATGCCAAACAGTGGAAAAAAATTCAGATCACAACACAAAAGATTCTGAAATTATGTGCATGCCTATGATCTCTTCTCAGTAATAGTTCTTAACACATAATAACTTTTTTTGTTATAACGAAATTTACTTGTCCAAGTTGGCTGCTATATGGAATATCATGTGCGGGCGCGCGTGTAACATTAATTAGTTAATTGTAACATTGATTGATTAATGTCTTTTGTTGACTTGTTGGGCAGTGAAAATAGTGACAAGTCCATATATATATAAACAATTACAACTCGTTACGTAATTGTTTGATTGCGCAGAATCGATGCATCCAGACAATGAGTGATTCGGAAAGAGCCAAATGCAAATCAGTAAAATAAGAATTAGCAAACAGACAGAATCAAGGAATCCCAATTTTGTGGCCCCTTTTTCATCTTTTTTAATTTATGGATTCTTTATTTTTATAATGAGATGACTGGGGATAAGCCAGCTGAAGATTCACTCATTAAATTTTCTTTTCTTTTCCATGTATTATCCCTTTCTTTTTATATTAAGATATAGTTCATGAATTGAAATGAGGGCTAAAAATTTACTATATATAAGAACAAGAAAATAGAAGTGATACTACTATTTTTTTTTTTTATATTTATTTTGGTCTAAGAGCTGAGACGAACAATGTTTAGAAAGCGGTAACTTCTGGTCAGTAATTTCCGTATTTAAATGCTACAGTTCACATTTGATTAATTCGGATTGATCTCAGATCTCATCCCTTAACTAAGTTGGAGCAACATCTTATTAATTGATTTACATATTATGTTTTGAAAAGAAAAAAAAAATAGTCTAATGTTATAGTGATCATAAAAATTTATCAACTAATAAATAATTATCATTCATGTAAATTTTAACATAATTATTATAAAAATAAAAAAATAATGTAATTATTATAAAAGTCAAAAAAAACTTATCCTACAGTACATATTGTGGTCTAATGCAAATAAAAATCATTAAGACATGTACCCAAATATAATGTAAATGAAAATAAGAATATCGATTCAAGTAACCTGAATTAAGTTAGTGTCATTTGCAATGACTTGTCCTTTTATTAGAAGTTGATTTTATCTGTTTAATAATTTTGTCATATTTCAGTGATTTAATATCAATATTTGGATTATGTCAAAAAAAAATATCAATATTTGGATGTCCGTTTCTTTTACTCCACTTGTATATTATTGCCCAATTATACTCATGTTAGTTCTTTTCTAGCTATGAATATTAGTTTTAACATACTACCACGTGTAAATAGATTTCGGTTTGAAACCTCCAAACCAAAACTTCTAGTGTAATGGACCCAAGCTTTTGAAGTTATTACACCATCAATTTCCCCACTCTTAATTTTTAATGGTATAACACAAATTCCACCGAGAATAATGGAGATTGTTTAAGAAATAAAAAAACTAAGATATATATA